AAGCAGGGCCTTGGTCTAGTGAGCCATGTATCTGGAGATGCCGAGGCCAGTGGTAGGTGAGAGCTGGCAGGTCTATGAAGCCAGAACACCTGGCTCAGGTCCACTTAGGCAAACTCTTCAACCTCCTGGTCCCTCAGTTTCTCATCTATAAAATGAGGCAATGGTACATGCCACGCAAGCTTGTTACACCTGCAGTAGGGACTGTTTGATGCATGCATAGACAGAGGGCAGAGATAGTAGTCCTTAAAATACAGTATTACAATACAATGAAAGAAAAACAAAAACAACAAACAAGACAGGTGACGTGACTGTTCAAAAACAAAGGCAACTCTTAGGGGGTGTGGTTTAGTTGGTAGAAGGCTCATGTATGTACATGAAGCCTTGGGTTCGATTCCCAGTGCCACATAAATTGAGCATGGTATCATAAGCCGGTAGCACCAATACTTGGGAAGTAAAAGAAGAATCAGGAGCCCTGTATTGCCAGGAGTTCAAACTCAGATGCATAGTTAGTTCTGAGCTATATGAGAACCAACCTTGAGATAAGAGAAAAATGAATATTTTACTACTCTAAGGTAGATCTATCCCAGCTGACAAAGCCTTTCTGTTTTACTGTGTGCAGGGTGTGTTGGTGAGGCATAGCAAGGCTCAGAGAGGGCAGACATCCACCCTGGATCGCACAGAAGTGGTAAGCAACCATAATCAGACTAGGGCTCTTGCTTCTAGCCTGTGACTCCTAGTTTCCAGGCCCTGCTGGCTTGTCCTCTGACCCTGGCCCCCTGGGAGCCTGACCCCAGACCCATGGGGTCTGCAAGTCTGGTCTGGATTAGACACGCTGAGAAGCAAAAACTTTTCCCCCCAGGCCGGCTGCCCTGTGGGACCTGAGCTCACAGCTGCTGAGGCTCACAGGAACATAAATCACAGTGGCAGGAGGCCCCAAGGGCCAGGACCACCTCAGCATCCTGAGGGTATGGGGGCCTGAGAGTCGTTGACAGGGACACCTGAGTCCACTGGGGGTTTTGTCCTCCACTGGATGTTGGAACAGGGTGAGTTGGAGGGGCCAAGAAACCACGTGGGAATCCTTGGGTCCGAATGGGCCAAGAGCCTGCTGTTATTCCTTCAGCAACTGTTACACAGATGAGATGAGGCACGCAAAGGACCCCATGCTCTGCGTCTTTAAGACCGAGTGCTTTACCATGAGACCCTGTGCATTTACCATCCAGGCATTATCAATCCTCGAGTTTCTGCCCTGTGGTTTACTGATATCCACCGGTGCTTTACCCTGTTCTCACCAGCATCTTTTTTTTTTTTTTTTTTTTTTTTTTTTGGTGCATTTAAGGATACAATGTTGCCTGTGCCATGCTCCTTGACCCCAGAGGGACACTTGTTTATTATTTTTTAATTAGATGATTTGTTTCTTCAGTTAAGTGCATGCTTATAGGCTTGTTTTTTTTTTCCTTTTCAGATATATTTACTTTACACGTATGAGTGTCTTGTCTGCTTGTGTGTCTGTGTACCATGCGTGTGCCTGATGCTCAGAGAGGCCAAGAGAGGGCATTGGATTCCCGGGTACTGGAGTTACAGAAGGTTGTAAGCAGCCATGTGGGGTGCTGGGAATTGAACCCAGGTCCTCTGGAAGAGCAGCTAGTGCTCTAAACCACTCAGCCATCTCTCCAGCCCCCTAGAAGACTTAGTACTTAACCAGAAGGATGTTGTCTTACATAAGTAGCAAACTCAAAATAGTTTTAAATTTCTTTTTCTTTTCTTTCTCTCTTTTTTTAAAAATTTGAAATATGTGCTGTCTGTCTAGGCTTGATTTGTGATCTTCCTCCTTGTGACTGTTGGGAACTCTTTTGCAGAGTTGTGGGTTTTTTCTTCTTAATTTTGGGGTGCTGGAGATTAAACCCAGGGCCACATGCATGGGAAGCATGTGCCCTATCACTGAGCTGGACTTTCAGATCTATTTTTATTTAACCTAATAGGAACCGATCACGGAACCGTATATGGGCAAGTGTTCTAAGCTTTGCCCAGTCTCAAGTGCTGTGTGATCCTGGCTCGCCACTGTTCCTGTCTAGGCTTCAGTGGCCTATGGCTCTGAGTGATTTCTAAGGGTTTTCCAGGAGCAACTTGTGGCATGACATGGAGAGAGTCCTGGGTTACTGGGGCCGGGTCTCTCTGGGGGTTCTGGAAAGCCTTGGGCTGGTTGCTTGTCTGTCTACAGTTTCCTCCTTGTGAAATGAACTCCTAGAGCATTCTCATGCTAATGTGTCTAGGAAGGTTGAGGTGGATGGTACTTACTGTCATCCTGAGGGTCTAGGTGGCTTGGCTAGCTGTTAGAGTAGCCCATCCTGGAGTCAGAAAGGGTAAGTTTGTGGGGAGGAGTCAGCCCCATTAAGAAAATGACCCTCACGGGCCCTGGTCCACAGCTATGCTTCACCTGAGACATGTGTTGAGCTAGCCTTGCAGCTTACAAAGGCACACAGTCCATTGCCCAGAAAAAAACAAGCCACAAATGGCAGAATGTTTGCAGCTGTGAAAAGTGAGTAACTTCTAGAACATTAAGGGTTTCCTGAAGAAGCATAAGGACTGTGAGTAGAAAAACCCAGAGTGTGCAAAATGATGTCACTGCTGTGTAAAATAAGTCAAGACACACACACAAGCACATCACACACACACAGACACACACACACAGAGACACACACACACACACACACACACACACACGCACACACACTGTGCATAACTTGCCTACAATACCCATAGATCCCCTTGGTGGGAATTCCTAAGAGTCAGCTTAGCAGTTACTGAGTTGGAGCTGGTTTCTGGGAGGCAAGGCTGTAGATTGTTGGGATTTTTGGGCCATGCTTTTTGAACTCTGGGCTCTGAAGTTGATATCTCTATGTCTCCAGCACTTGCTGTGTCCACAGGCACAGTAGAATGGTGGGAATCTACTGAGTTGACTATGAGGTGCTTCACCTTTGGATGAAGAGGTTGAATTTAGTGGCTGCAGGTAACTGTACAGGTGTCCAGACTATCCAGGACTTCGGGGTACGCATACTGCCATAGTCTTTGGAATAGCTGATATTGCTAGACCTATGAACTTGAACTTTTATGATAAAGACATAAGCAGAGAAGCCAACACATACTGTTTTCTGCAGAGATAGAAACCAGGACAGGGTCTTTCAGGAAGAACCCACAGGGCGATTCCTCCCAGCTGTTGCCTTGTAGAGATTCAGGGCTGAGGGAGGTGTGTGCTTTCTCTTGCTTACCATTGGCTGCAATGTGGAGATGATTGCTCACTGCTCAGAGCTCTTTAAAACCCATTTCACAAAGCAAAAACACTCCTCTGTTCTTGCTGCTATGGCTTGTTAGAGATTGGGTTGGGAAGGCCCAGATGGGTCAAGCAATGTTTCCCAGGTCACCCAGCAAATCTGATGGCAGAAGTAGGCTTCCAGCCCAGAGCACCCAAGTGTCTGCTCTGCCCCCCTCCTAGGTTTCCTGCCATTGACAAGGTCACAGTCCTCTTCCTGTAACTTTGCCAGAGGCTGCAGTACCTGGAGCAGGGTAGGCGCAGGGAGAGCAATGTGCTTTCCTAATTAGCTCCCGGAGGGGAAGTGTGGGCGCTCTGGGACACAGGACAGGCAAGACCAATGTCCCTGGACACCGGGAATTGAGGGAGAGGGTGGGTGTGGGGGTAGGTCTCCTGGGCAGTGTGGCCTCTGGGGACCCTTCTCCTTTGTGTCCCACTCTAATGGGCTGTGGACTATACTACTGCCTCCAGCCTATGTGACGAGGGAGGCAGACATTTCTGGTCTCCCGTGTTTTCCTTCTGTTTTGTCTGTAGAGAGGGCTGAGTGGATTAGCTTGATCCTAACACAGCTGACATTAGGCGTCTACTCATCTGCAAACTAGGCAGCCTCACAGAGCCTCTTCACAGGGTCAGATGCTTGCTGGGAGCATAGCGCATGGGAGCTAGAAGTCGGTAAATAAAAAATGAAAAGCCTTGCTAAATAAGAGCATAGCAATGGTGTGTGACGACCTTGCTAGGATTAGGCTGGCTGGCCACTCCTAGCTTTCTCTGAGCTGCTCTGACCCTGGCCTCATGGGCACCTAGGCTGAGCCAGAGAACCCAGGTCCTCCTGCTTCCCTGAGCTCTAGTGGTCAGGCTGTGCCCTGTTCTCAGATGAGTCTGCACAGTGAAAACACGGGTGCCGACTCCCAGGGCTGCTGGTGCACCAACCAAACAAGGGAAGGACTGCTCTGCCCCTCCCTTTGGTCACATTTTGTGTATGCATGTGGGGGGCACATGTGGACAATTGTGAGTGGCTTGTCCTCTCCTCCCACTATGTGGGTTTCAAGGATTGAGCTCCTGTCAATCCTTAGTGTCAATAGTTGGGCCATCTTAAGGTTCCCTGCTTTGAGTTTTAAAAGTGGATGGACTCAGGGTGTCACCTGTCATACACCACTCTCCTAAAACTAAGCTAAGGTAGATCTGAACCTTTGCCTTCAGCACCCAAGGTAAATCTTGCAGGCTAGGTGGTGATGTCACAGTGAGAAGTAGGTCAAGTAAGAGCCACTCACAGAAGGCAGCATAAGCAGCCATCGGAGGAATGGGTTTGTTTCCAGGCTGACTCCAGACAGAACCAAGCTCCACTGATGGGCAAGGGGGGTACCATAAAAACCTGATCGGTAACCTGAATGAAGAGCTGGTGTGGGGATGTGGGTGAAGCAGACTCTACACCACATGCCCTCCAGCAGCTTTTGAATTTGAATCATGGGTCTATTCCTTATTGAAAAATAAATATGATGTGCATTTCTTTGGCCACCACCCAACGGTGTTCATAACACTGAGCCAAAGGGAGGGTGTGAGGAGAGCCTGCCTATAGCTTCCCATCCAAGGCATAGAGCCCTTGCCACAGCTGTGACAATCTAAGTCCTAAAGAGGAGACTGTCTGCAAGTTTCACTGTCCATGCCCCCTCTTACTTAGCCAAGATACACACCATTTATTTAAAAATACCTTTATTTTGACACCCCCCCTGGATTCGCTCACATATCACATTCACACAGACACAAACACACTTTCAAAAATAGTCTTTGATTTTCTAAAATTTCTGCCTTGTTTCTGGCCAGCTAGGCCTGAATGGCTAGAAGGGTCCTCATGGCTCTCCAGGACGAGCCCTGTGTCCAGGCCATTGTCCTCCAGTCCCTACATGAAGCAGGAATGGTTTGAGCTTCTGGAATCTTCTCTCCTGTCCAGCTAGGGGTTGGCTTGTGGCCTTTTACCCTGTTGGAGTCCTTCTTGGAGAAAATACCACAGGGACACAGGCTCATCGCCGAGGCCCTCGAAGGGGGGCTATGCCTCTCACTTTCAAGCAGCTGCCCCCCAGGTCACGTCGGCTGCCCTGCAGGAGAGAAAGAGGTGTTAGGAGGGCACGTCTGTTGAAAGGCAGAAGAGATTCTGGACTAACATGGAGTGACATTGTTTAGGGATAACAGCAAGGTCAGAGGGGAGCAAATGCCACTTCAAATGCCATTTGTGGAGGGTGTGTGTGGGGAGAGAGGGAGAGGGAGAGGGAGAGGGAGAGGGAGAGGGAGAGGGAGAGGGAGAGGGAGAGGGAGAGGGAGAGGGAGAGGGAGGAGGAACGCACGTGCGCCATGCTATGGGTGCCTCTCTCTCCAGAGGGGACGTTAGGGGCACCTTCCTTTACAACAGTTCACACTGCCTGCTCCTTCCCCACCTGACAATCTGTTGCCTTAAAAAATTGAATATATGCTGTGTGTGCTAGCACACTTCTGGAAGCCTAGAATCCCAGAGACAGGTTTACCCATGAGTTCAAGGCCAGCCTCATCTGCATAGTGAGTTTCAAACTAGATAGAGCTACATAATGAGACCCAGTCTCAAAAACAAAAATAAATGCTAAGTACATTCTCTACCACTGAGCTATATCCCAAGGCCATACAACTTTCAAACACTGTAAAGTATATTTTACAGTAAAAGGCAAGGAAAGCCCCCTAGTAGTTCCAGCTGCTGCCTGGGAAGCGTGAGTTCGTATATGTGTGCATGCATGTGTGTAGCCTCTGCCTAGGCCACCCTCAAAAGCCTAGGCCACCCAGAAAGCAGGTTTCTGTCTGCCGTGCCTTCACCCAGGGTCTCTCCTATGTAGGGAGCATATCCTCGGCTCAGGTCTGCAGAGGAAGACTTCTTTACGAATGCTACTGCATCCACTTGTTGGGGATATTCCCTGGAGTAAACCAAGGAGGAAGTTAGACCTGGAGCCCAGGAAGTGGCTAGGAAGGGCATTCTTCCAGCCTGGAGTCAGAGCCCTGGAGGTGCCAGTCAGTTGGGTTTCAAGCTAATGGTAGCAGTCCCTGAAGCCACCTGTCCTTCAGTCTTCCCCTTCTTACCAATATGCTTGAATTGGACATAGGTTAGACCCTCACTGAGAGCCAGAGAGCTCACAGCTCTGGCACAGTCTTCTTCCTTTCCTTCTGACAGTATGTAACTATGTAGCCTAGGTTGGCTTTGAACTCCATATCCTCCAGCTTCAGCCTTCCTTCATCTGAGTACTGGGTTACCAGCCTGTGCCCCATGCCCGGCTTAGCATTTCCTCTTTTGAGGACACCAGTGTTGAATGACTGGCCCAGAGACATCAGCTGCTTAGTAAGAGCTGGGGAGAACCCCATGGCCTATCAAGCCACCCCATTTTCAGGCCCCATATAGACTGGAATATCACAGTAAGTGCTCAGTTCACTGGGAGTGGCTGATCTGGTAGTGATCTCAGGGGACCATCTGGGAGCTCTGCCTCTACTGCCTCCTGCCTCTGCCCCAGCCCAGGTTGGGGCAGATCCATCCAGATGTGATCCCAGCCTCCCTGGAGGCTCTCTGGGCCCAGGGACAGTATGTTCATTCACAGGCAGGGCTATTTTGAGGGCCGAGGCCATGGTCCCAGCAGAGCCTGGGGCTTGGGCTTCTCAGACAGACTCTGGCAGGAGTAGCTAAGAAGGGTGGATGGGGTGGGGAGAGGGGGGCTACGGGACAGAATACTCCCCCACTTCACTCTTAGGTCCTCAAGAGACAAGGACCATCACTTCCCACCCTAAGTCTGGAGGTCTTTCAGAGAACTGGGTTCTGTGGGAATGAATGCTGGGACAGTTTACCTCCCCGAGCCTCAGTTTGTTTCATCTGTAGAATGGACACTCTCTCAGATGCAGTGGAACGTGAATACAGTTGTGTCCACTGCCAAGAACCCTGAAAAGAGATTCTAACCAGGTCCAGAGTGAGACACTCCTGCTCTAACGGGGGCTCCCTGCTAGACTGAGCCTCAGTTTCCCTATCTGTAACATGGTAATATTTTACAGGATAAACAAGCGAACACAGGTGGCACATATAGTGAAGCTCTTTGTGTGTGTGGAACAGAACCCTCAGCCTCATTTGTGGCAGTCAAGTGTCCTACTACTGAGCTGTAGGTCTTGACCTGGTTTTATTTTTCAAAAGAGGGTCTCACTGAGTCGCTCTGCAAACCTTGTACTTGGAATCCTTCTGCCTCAGCCTTCTGGGGAGTTGGGATTACAGGCTTGAGCCACCACGCTCTCCAAGAAGAGCTTAAGGAGAGCACAGTCAATGGTCAACAAACATTTATAACACGATTCCAGCATCCTCCAATGGCACCTCCTGGCACCTTGGCATCCCTCTGCTGTTGAGCTGGGCACACCAATAGGAAAACAGCTTCACAAAAGGATCCTGTCCAGGGAAAACAAGGCAGAGACAAGAATCCACTTTCCTCTCAGGACCGCTACTACAGAGGTAACCTTATCCCATCCTTGAGCTGTAGGAAGGAGCTGTAGGGGACGTGTCCATGACAAGCCCAACCCCAGAACACTCAGGATCAGAAAGAGGTAGTGGCCTGGGATAGAGTGGGGTCTGGGACCTTGGAGCTTCTTGACCTCAGAGTTCAGAAGTGTGTAGGGGCTCCCCAAAACATCTGGTATCTTCCAGACAAGTCCTGGAGGGGCCAGCACTGGTGAGGATCACCCCTCTGGCCTATTCCCAGAGGAGCCTGTGTGACTGAGCATGGCTTCTATAACCAAATTTGGTTGGGTTCTTCATCCCACAGACAGATCCCAAGGCAGCAGTCGGCCTCAGGCCAGACCCTATGAACTACAGGACAGTCCCCTGTCCTACAAAGAAGCCCCCATTCTGACTGCTGCGGTGGTGGGCACAGATGGACCTGTCTGAAGCCTGCAGGCACCGAGCCGTCTTGCTGCCACCTTTACCACTTTCCAGTTAGCAAGGCCAGAGTGCCAGGTCTTCTCTGTCCAAGCAGATGGGGTGGCCACAGGGCCCCTTCTCTGACTGCTAAGGGACCTTAGTGATGAATGTGAGCACAGATCAGTACTTAGAAGACTCCTGTCACTGTGCTGTCACTGTCCTATCACTGTGCTGGTCTGTCGCCGCCTTTAAGATCTTCCCACTTCTTTGTCTAGACTAGCTGTTCTCAACCTGTGTCTCTCCACTGATCCCTTTGAGGGTGGTACAACCCTCTCACGGGGGTCACATACCAAATATCTACATTATGATTCATCACAGTAGCAAAATTATAGTTATGAAGTTACACTCGGAGGTCACCATAGCAGGAGGAATTGTATTAAAAGGTTGCTGCATTAGGCTGGTTGAGAAGCACTGCTCCAGACCACCACTGCGATCCCCAGGTCCCACCACGCATGCTCTAAATCACCCTTTCCCACGTGCCTGCCTGTTTCCTCACATTTTTTAGGAATTTAGTACAGAAGCTTTTCAGTCTCTTTCCAATCTGGGACTGGGCTTCCCCTGGGCTCTCAAAGTCCCATCAGACCAGTTTCCTTTTCTTCATCCCCCTTGCCCTGATGCTACACTGGAGCACCTGACTGGCTTGTAAGCAGGGCCACACCTGCTTATCTGGGCACATTCTCAGATCCAACAAAAGCCAGCGGCTGGGTGGTTAGGGACAGCTGATCTGGATGAATGCATAGCAGGCCTTAACGTACGTAGTACTGAGTCGGCCCAGCTAACCTTTGCATCCCAGGTGTGGACCCGAAGGCCCAGCTCTGACTTTCCTCCTCAGCCTGGGGCATTGACAGGGACCCTCAAATGCATACCAGTCAGAGGTTAAGAAGACTCACTCAGAGAAATTGAGGCAATGGAGAGCTGAGAAGATAGCCTGGGAGTCTGAGCCAGAGGGCTGGTCTGAGGCCAGGCCACTGAGGCCTTCCCAGAATGGAGCTATGAGAAGCAGAGAGCAGAGCTCAAGGGGACTGGATACAGTCCCCCATGATCTTTCCCTGCTGGCTATGTCAAAGCAAGGCTAGATTCTCTGAGCCTCAGTTTTTCCAGATGTAAACAGTAGCTGCTGATTTAACTCAGACATGCTTCCTTAATGCAAGACAAGCCCAGGCTGGAAAGGGTGAGCCTAGGGCCAAGCAGACCTAGGGCCAAGTTTTCCTTAGGAGGGCCCCAGAGACTTCTGCTGCTCCCCAGTGTCCAGCCAGCCTCTCAACTTAGACACAAGCAGACAACAGTGTCCCCTCCTAACCCCACATCCTTCTGGGGGCTGGGCACTCTTCAGGAACCCCTTCATAGACACGGGTTGGGGACCCAGGCTCTAGAGTATAGGTGCATGTCCCTATTTTCTCAGTTCCCTGCTCTTGGTTCAGGTCTTAGGACCTGGTACAATTTATTAAAGATGTTTGTTAACTCTAAGTGATAACTATTTAGTAACCCCAGAGCCTGCTTCCTGTAAACGTGGGCAGTGCCTTTATCTGAATCGTCACAGGATAATTGAGAGGACAACAGAATACATGCCCAGAGAGCGAGCATCAGGCAAAGAGGAAGATCTCAGAATGCAGGCACCTCGTAAAACGCAATTAAGTTAGACCGTAGCTTTCTGGGTTCCCCTCTACCCTTTCTGTTTGGGGGTTTAGCAATAGGTTCTGCTCCACTTTAATTGTAAGGGAGGAGACACTGTCCCCGCCGCTGCTCCGAGGTCTCTTCCCTTAGCTTCCATGGTGGGGTCCCTGACTCCCGGCTCTTGCCCCGAAGCCCGGATGCCGGGCTGCAGTAGGCGCCGCGCACTCACCCCCTTGCGCTGGTTGCTGAGACAGAAGGTGCAGATGGAGCGCGGCTGACGGCCGTCGGCGGCGGGGACCGCGCTCTTGCCACCGCCCGCCGCGCGGAAACACGGCTGCCCGTCGTCGGCCGCGTCGCCCAGGAGCAGCACGTTGGCCAGGTGGGCGATGTAGCTGGACGCCAGACGCAGCGTCTCGATCTTGGACAGCTTTCGGTCCACGGGCTCGGTGGGGATGAGCGTGCGCAGGGCAGTGAAGGCTGTGTTCACGCTCTGCGTGCGGTCTCGCTCGCGCGCGTTGGCCGCCTGTCGCTGCCGCACCACCACCACGGGGCCCGCGCTGCCGCTCGCCCGCCGCCCGCTCCCGGGACCCGGGCCACGCCGTGCCGCCTCCAGCCCTTCGCAGCAGCCGAACGACTGGTCTGACGCGTCGCTCTCGCTGCGGTTCTCCTCGTCCTCGCTCAGCAGCCTCACGTCTGGGTACAGCACGTGCGCGCCGACCGGGCGCAGCAGCGCGAACGCCATGGGCGCCCGGCCGCCGGCCTCCGCTCGCCTGGTCCCCGAGCCGCCGCCCCCGCCGTGCGCTCCCGCGCGCTCCCACGGCCGCGCTGGTCGTCGCCTTATAGCCGGGGGAGGAGCCAATCACGAGACGGTCCCAGCGAGACCAATAGAACTCCCCCCTGCTTCGCCCCGCCCCGGCCAATAACTACGCGCCTGCCTTTGGGTCCCCCAAGTTGAGTGGCCCCGGAGCTCTTGGCCCTCACCGAAGACTCTGGGTTTGGGCTGTCCAGGCGCGCAGATCCGATTCCTAGGAGACCGCTGTCAGATCCCTGTTAGTTTTCTCCGTCCCGATGTGAGCATACTCCCGCGCTCAAAAGTCTCATCCCTTGTCCTAGTAGCTTCGATATCAGAACCGCGGCCAGTGCTTTGGACTGAGAGCTTCTCAGATTAGACTTCCCAAGTTCCATTCATCAGTTCCGAGTGTGGCCCAGAGAACTGCGTTTTGTACGAGCTCACCAGCGTGCACTGTGATGCTGGAGCTGTCCGAGGGGAAGCGAAGACAATCTTTTTTCTTTTCTCTCCCTTTTCCTAGCAAAACAAACTCAAGTCCCTTTCAGTCACTTGGTAACTAGACGCAGCTCTCTACTATATGGTTTTCGTTGGAAGACAAAGATCAGAACAAAATGTACTTTTTCCTTCTCAGACCCTGGAGCCTGGTGGAGCCAACGGGACAGTTTTGTGTCAGCTGAGGTTGTCTTCACCACTCTGGGAATCCCCACAGGCTTCGTTCATCTCCTGTCGCACCCACCCCCACCCAACGCCCCGCCGCCACTTTTTTTTTTTTTTTCAGAAATTTCAGACTGAAGTCTGGACGTTCTGCTCTGTAGAGGACCTGGGAAAAAAATAACTGAGCAGATGGTGGTCACTGGGGTCCTCGAGTCACGCATATCTGCTTCTTAGTGTCATCCCTGAACGGGTCAAAGCAGCATCCACTTGGCCTTGAAATAAAGGGGTTTTTTGTTTGTGTGTTTGTTTGTTTTTTTTTTTTTATCGCAAATGGTGGCCAGAAGTGCATACAGCTGAAAGCTTGTAGGAACTTACTGGTTTTCTGGAAGACGTCCTCCAGCTCCAAGGACTGTGTTTCCCCAGCCCCTAATCAAGTCCAGAAAGGGGCCTAGGACAGAGCCGATGGGAGAGAAAACCCTGAAGTCTTCAGAGTTCAAGGTCTGTAGGGAGTCTGTCCCCACACCTGGATCCCCCACCCCCATACTATATGACCGTGACCCAGTCAGGCAGGGCTTTAGTGAGTAGCCTCCTCAGGCCCCTCCCCACAGGGCCAGCCCGGTACACAGCTCCTGCGCTCCAGCCGGGACTGCTTCCTGAGCCCATGAATTATTACTGACCAGGAGATTTCCTTCCCTGTCTGCGCCTCCTCACAGGGGCTCCCAGCTCCCTTCACTTTCGCTTTCTCCCGGTTTCCCCCTCCCCTCTGCTCCTGACCCTCTGGAGGCTTGGAATTCCTGTCCAGCCCCCTCCCAATTCCAGATCCAAACTGGAGATGCCTGAAAGGCAGGAGGGCCCGCCCCCAAAGGTTCATTCATTCAGCTGTTCTTTGGGCAGGTTTGGACACAAGGGACCTTGGAAGTAAAATAAAACCATGAATGAGACCGAGTGGCTGGCTGCAGCAGAGGAAAGCAAGCTGTAAACAAAGAATTTTAGGACAATGCGGTCAGAGCCAGCCAGGGTCTGGCATCAAAGAGATCTGGCTCCAGTTCAAGGCCAGCAGCTTCTTGGGGTCTCATTTTTGCTGCTCTGGAAAATGGGGTTAAGAATATTTCCCATTCTTAGAACCAGTGAGAGTCCCTAGATTCTCTGCCAAGAAACTGGGGCCTGGCATACAGCAAGAGTTCAGTACCAGAAGTGGAATTTGTATTATTTTGTCCACAGTTTGGGGAAGGACCAAATAATGTCTGCTCTTCCAAGACTTGTCACAAGGAGTAGGCCAGAGCTTCTGCAGCATTCTTGGCCCATCTATGTGACAGGCTCAGTTCCTCTCAGTCCATGCCTCTTACCCTCCAGCCACACTGGCCTCTCTATCCCCAGAGCCCACGTCTGAATACCTCCATCTCCAGACATACCTATAGCTGATCCTGTCACTTCCTCCAAATCTCATCTCTGTCAGGGGCCTTTCCTGACTGCCAGGGCTAAGTGACTGTTCCTCTTACCTGGCAGTACCCCAACTCTTCCTGCCTATCTTATCTCCTGATGCTCTGGAAATAATAGTCTACAGATACTGAGTGACTGGGACGATCCGTGTTGTCAACTCGACAAAATCTAGAAGCACTAGGAAATGACCTCTGAGGAGGCCTGTGAAGGTTTTTTTCTTAATTGGGTCAATTGAAGTGGGAAGACTCTGAATGTGAGGAACACCGTTTCACGGGCTGGGCCCTGGACCAATAAAAAGGAGGAAGCTGAGCACTAGTGAGCACACGACCCCCACTCCCACCCCCAGGCTCTGCCTCTTTACTATGGATCCAATGCCTCAAGCTCCTGTTGCTGTGATTCACCTGAGAGCTGAAACCAACCCTTTCCCCTAAGTTGCCTTCATAGGTATTTTTATCAGCAATAGGAAGACTCTACAACAGCACTGCTGTGTTTTCAGCAGTTTTGGGTGCTGGGAATGCAGTTGTAAACACATTCTCCCCCTCTCCCCATACCATCTATCTCCACTGGAACAAAAGCTCCAAAAGATATTTTGCTCATTTTACTTCCCGCCCATTGCTGCTTCATTCCCATTTTGTAGACAGAGAAACTGAGGTTCATCGAGGAAGAAAAGGTACTTGCCTGGGATCAACCAGTCAACTTAGAGTAGAAGTTCAGGTTGGCCTGACTCCAGAGCCCTTCTTCCTCATCAGCTGGCATCTGAGGCAGTCCAGTGGATATGAGGGCTAGCTAGAGACCACTCAGCAAGAGAAGGAAGGTTCCAGGCCAGGGGAGCAGCAGTTGGGCCGTTTTCCTGCATAGCCCAGCTTTCTGTGTCATGGAAGCTTTCACATTTGATCAGAGGTCTCAACTATGAAGCCTCTGGGCCTTTTCCCCACCATCCTTTTTGGAGGGCCTGACCCCTTGGATAGGACCAGCCCAGGCTTGGGCCCGGGTTTAGTGTAGTTTCTCACTAGTCTGCTTTGTGGCTCCACCTCCCAACCCTGGGTGCAGCATCTTCTGGTCCCTCATGAGTTCTCTCTCTTCATCCTGATCCTCACCTAGATGCCCACTTAACTATGTTTATTAAATACAATTTTATATGATTTAAGACTTTCATACATGCATCCAATGTTTTTTGAGCCTGAGTACTCTGAACTCTAAACCCAATTCCTCCCAGACCCACCCGAACCCAATCCACACTGCCCTCCCCAAAAGGCACTGAGTCCCACGGTGATATTTTGGAAGCATACTCTGGATACATATGCATCCTTATTAATTACCCATGGTACTGCTTTGTGTGAGTGGGTCAAACTGCAGATGGTACTTTCCATAGACCAGCGTCTTGGAGGATTTCCTTTTGTTTAGCTTTGTTTCCTTGCCACTGTTATGTGTGCAGTCTCACACATGTTCATTGCTGCTTGGCACGTGTGCTAAGCATTCATCACCAGGCCTCCATCCTTAGTAGTGGACCCTGATGACTTCCTCTGGCTTCTCCTGAAGCAAAGGGAAGTGAACTTCTGGTACATGACTCAACAACTCGTGTGTCTGTGTGTGTGTGTGTGTGTGTGTGTATACTTATGTGCATGTGTGCACATATGCGCTTGTGCACATGTGTTTGTACATGTACATACATGTATGATTGTGCTCATGTGTGTGACTCTATGAGGCTCACACCAGGACAGTATGGCTAGGGGCACACTGAGCCTCAGGTCTACCGTGCGATGCCTGCCTCAATCCACATACCCCTCGGCAAGATGTGGAGTCCACTTCTCCATGTCACTTTGGCTCTTAGACTCAGCTGACTTCCTCATGCAGTAGGTACCAGGGATGCCTGTTCTCCCTGTCTGGCTTTCTTCCTCAGCAGATGGTGCATTGTCAAGGTGGGACATTCACGACAGCATGCTAGGCTGGAGCCTGGCACACTGGGGACAATAATGAGCATATTAATGAATGAACTAATGAATGAAGAGTCTGCAAATCCCAACCTACATGGTTGCTGTGGTGGTGATTTTTGTCTGTCAACTTGATTGCCACTGGGATCTGCCTGTCTTTGTTCCCAGCACTGAGATTACAAGTGCCACCACCCGACTTTTTATTTTTATTTCATGTATTTTGTCTGCATGCATGTCTATACCACATACATGCCTGGTGCTCTCAAGAGGCCAAAAGCGGGCATCAGATACCCTGGGACTGGAGTTACAGGTGATTGTGGGTGCTGGAAATCAAACCCAATCCTCTGTGAGAGCAGCTGGTGCTCGTAAGTAATGAGCCAGTTCCCAGACTCTTATATAGCCTTTTAAACGTGGGTTTGGGGGTCACACTCAGGTTCTCATCAACTGAGCCATCTCCTCAACTTGGGTCCAGAAGCCCACAGCTGCAGAAATTCTAACAGTGAAGGTAATCAACAAAGGTTGAGAGAATCAACAAAAGAAGAGAGAATTAATAACAACAATAACGTTAGCTGCATATTTTAGTTCTTCCTCCTGACCTGTGGGACTGGGAGATTGTAGCTATTATTGAGTACAGCAGCACCTGAGTACAGGATACCGCTGTGAGCAGCCTGGAAGCTCTGTAACTATACAGCCTGGCCACTGACCAGGTCCAGGGGACAGATGAAAAACAGTGTGGGTGCTGCAAGCCTGTGTGTTTAAGTTGTTAATAAAGCAGGCCATGTCATGGCCTTTCTGCTGTATTTTATGTGACTTCCACTCCCTAGGTTGCATCATGGACCAGACTGGCTGCTGAATCCATGCTGTCAGCTTTCCCTGGGGTGTGCTGGGGAGGTGGGGCAGAGTAGTTAGACACAGAAGAAGGAGACTTGTCTGCGAGTTACAGCCTTACT